TTATGATAGCAAAAAACCACCTGTCACAAGGGTTGTGTCTCAAAACCTAATAGGCTGCCTGTGCAGACAGCATGTTTGGAACAGCAGAAATCATTTTTGGCCATCATAAACATCAGTGTTGGGCAGTAACTAGTAACTAGTTACAGTAATAATATTACTTTTTGCAGTAACTAGTAGTGTAACTAATTACTAATAAGATTTCAGTAATAATATTACAGTTACCATCCATAAAACAGCTTGTTACTAGTTACTACTGATGCCTCAGCCCCTACTGATTTGAAATCCAACAATCAAATAATTCCTAAATTTATTTTCATAATTTTCAGACTCGCACAGGCACATGAAGTCACAAGTGCATCAGGAAAGCTTGGAATATGATGTTCTGAACACAGATGTGTAAGTTGTGGAATTATGGAAGTTGTGGCATTACTTTACTCTGGCATTACACGGCTTGCCCACCCACATCCCTCTGACCCCGATATAAATTATATTACTATAATTAAAAATCTTATGAACTTTTGATAAAATACTTCATGAAATGTAATCATATATGGGTAACCGAGAAATTATAGCTACAATTAGCTTCAAGCTACACATGACAATTAATACATCACTTTTACTTAAAAGCCACTATCAATCACCATTGGTGTTTGTAATAACTTCTGACTGCGATCAAATGATAGGGCAGAAATAAATATATTGTTAGAAACATTTTAGAAGAATTTTATGGGGAAGATACACAATTACAACTTCTGTGGGGCATGAGTTAAAAGTAATGTAACTAGTAGTGTAACTAATTACTGTTGGCAGAAAGTAACAACTAATAATATAGTTACTAATAACTAGTAACGAGTAATACATTACATGTTTGGAGTAACGAGCCCAAAACGGATAAACATGTTAGAAACATTCAAACCGTATTTTGTTTAGGATAACAGCATTTCTAACATTTTAGCAGCATTTGTTAAAAGCATAAAGAGTGTTTGGAAAGTTTGAACATTATTTCTTAGTAACAGAAGAGCATTCGGAAAGTTCTTAATGCATGTCTGGAGCTCATAAGCGCGTTTGGAATGTTCAAACTGCGATATCTGTGCAAGATAATTAAGCCACTTTTGAAAGTTCGCATATATTTTGTTTGTATCGTGGTATTTAAAAGATGTAACGTTAACGGATGATGCCCTAAAATGAGCGTCCGAACATTCTACACAATTTAGGGGTGAATTTAGAACGTTCGACAGTTTTTGGCCATCATAAACGCGTTTGAAACGTTCGACAGTGCTGTCTAAGTATTTACTCGTTAGGTTTTGAGGTACAGCCAATGTGTCAGACACCCAGATGTTGGTTTAATGCAAACCCCAGGCGACGAAATGTAAAACTGTTCACTCACAGCTCGCACACAATGTCAACAATGCACTACTCACCCAAAATATAATGTTAAATCCAAATATAAAGTATTTGATGCAACAACCCACTTCGTGCACGCTGAAGTGTTTTCCTGACATACTTGCGTTTGATAAAACAGAGAAATTCCTCCCGGTTATTATTAATGATGGAGAAAAAAATCGCCTAAGTTACAGTTACCAACTGGAGAACTCGCTTCTTCCTTTTACACCATATTTATGACCTTTCTACAGACTGGCCAGCAATGCCACACTCGGCTATTTCGCCGAAATGAGCAGTTTGCTTCTTAGAAAAAAAACAAAATAATTATTGAAAAAAAAAAAAGTATAATAATTCCAGAGAATAACGGGACGAACAGTCCTCTGCAAATAAAGATTCGAGAGTCACTTCCGGCTAAATGAATTATGTCGTAACACGGTTTTTCAAAATAAAGGTTCCATAATTGGAGCTAAATTAGAAAGAAAGAGCATCAACATTGGGCTTGATAATTACATAACTGATAAAATCGCGAATATTTATAATTATAATAATATTTATGTCTATTATTATCTAGAGAATTATTATAAAATATGAAAAAGTACAATATGCATGTGTAAATACATTGTGACATATAGTGAAATCATCTAAAATACATTGTGCAACTTTATTTATTATTTATGCTTTTAAATTGTGTAATGAGAAATTTCAAAGTCTAATTCTCAGTTGTAGCAGTATAATTTCTGAAAAAACGTTAGACGCAAAATCAGATGGATTTATCGTTAAAAAACATCTATGTAGGGTAATTTTGCAAGGAAAAGATGATCTTCTGTTCTGAGGTGCATGTGTTTTTATTATCACGCTCTGGACTGTCCCTTTAACATATAATATGAACATTCAATTAATCACAATTTAACTTCCACTGTGGAGCAGCAGTTTACAATACCACACTCATAGGACAAAGCAAGGGCTGTAATTTCAAAATAAGAGTAACCAAATCCTAAAACACTATTGTGAAATTAGTCAGTAACATTAGTAATTATATGCATAGCAAAACTGTGAACAACTGGATTGCATTAAGCTCAGCAATTATGTAAATAATATTGCTTTTTTAATAACTACAGTCCCAATTTGTGGATCACAAAAACATGTGCTTAACAATAAAACTCAGAAATGCTTTCCTTCAAAATCTTCTTAAATCATTAGTACTTTGATGTGGATGGATTTCATATTGAATAATGGTTTTACAAATTCACACTGATCTAAAAAGGTACTTGAAGAGCTTTGCTTTCTTCAATTTGAATTTTAGACAGATCAAAGGTTCACATGAATTGCACATTTTTTTCACTCGTGTCATGCCATGCAGTGAAACCATTCGTTTGCAGAGACACTGAATGAAACGGGTTAGCTTAAGGTTTAGTATTGTGTATTGGTTAATATAGGAAGCTTATTTCGGGATAGTGTCTTGGAATATCAGACAGCTGAATGTGCTGTCTAGACAGAGGTTGTATCTAATGTGTGTGTGTGTCCTTGTGTAAAAGTGAAGCACGCTGTAATAACCCCAAGGGCAGTGGAAATCCAAGGCCTTGCGACTGTTCCGCATTAAGGTCATCCACATTCACCTCCATGAGTCAGCAAATCCCTGCAGTTATCATACAGTTATTATACTGAGCACATCATAGATCATCTCCATCACAAAGCTCACTACATGCAGTCAATACTCCATCTTATGCATGATCTATATATAGTCATTATATGTAGTTCACAGTGCTGATCTATATCTACACACTACAAAATTATAAAACCTTATTTGCGTAAAGTACAAACTACCATAGCAACACTTTATAAGCACCCTGCATGAACAAGATAAATGACAAGTAAATAATTCTATCTTATACAAATCAATGGACAGTGCACATTTTAAAATATTTTGTAAGTGAATTTCTATACATTAATATCGGTTACACTGTTACACAGAATTATTCAATGCTGTTTGATCATTTTTAATATTCAGTAAAAATCCATCTAAATTCAATTTCACTACAAATATTTAAATAAAAATCTCTTTGACATTTTTTCCATTGTTGCAGACAGTGCTGATTCTATTGAGCAAATTGTAAAACACATGTAAAATATGTATTCCTTGAAATTCATTGAAGTGTTCACAGTAATGATTTTTTTCAATGAAACCTTATTTGAAAAAGTGACTACAATTTCTTAATAAGTAAACTTCATTTTAAAACATGTAGGCACATAAATGATTGCTTCAGCACTTCTGATGACAACGCTGTTTGCAAACGTTTTACTAGGTGTGTTAATTAAAATATTTAACCATCATTAATTTTATAATTCCAGTTTCAAGAACTGTATGTTCTTCAATAAAAAAAATAAAACTGTTGTTCTGGACAAATTAAAATGAAATGTCAAGTTTATATGTTGTACATCATTTGCTGAGGGCCCCTGGTGGACTTTGTTTAAGAACCACAGATGTGAATTGTTTTCTTTTTTTTTAAATATATTTTTTTATACCTTTTACATTTTATAAAAAAGTAATAACATGTTAAGCTAGTTACTAATTCTATTAGATAAAAAGTAATAAAATGTTAAGCTATTAGATTTTGCCATATACACATTAGTGTCTGTTACACGGTTTAGTATAATAAAATTGCAAAACATAGAATTGTTCTATGCTGTTTGTACATTTTTAATATTCTAACATAAGTAAAAATCCAGTTATTCGATTTCACTACAAATATTTAAATAAATGAAAATCTGTCCTTAATATTTTTTCCATTGTTGCAGTGTTGGTTCTAGGTAACAAACCTAAAAAAAAAAGAGGAAACATTTTATTGATAAGGTGCATTTCATGCATGAAGCATTGTATAGGTTTTGGCAGTAATGTAAATACCCTGATGACTCTGAGACTGCTGGGTTACATTCTGGTTGTAAGATGATCCCTCCTCCTCCAGAGCTGACGGTGTAAGCGAGTGCTCGAGACAGGAAGGACTGCTGAGCACTGAATGCTAACAAGGGGGAGAGAGAGTAGTACATGTCCACGGCGAACGGAAAGGTGGGGGGTTCAACAGCGAGATATGGAGAAATACAATTAACCTGCAATGTGCCAACGCCAAATTCACGCCGATCACAACCATCCTCACCACCGATCATCATCCTCATCCTCACCGCCACCAACAGCGCGACCGTCCTCGTCTTTTTTCTCCTAAGTGAAATGTATCGGGACTGCATGGGATCTTTTTTCTGACAATGGAGATTGAGAATATCGTGGCCAACACCGTGCTGCTGAAGGCGAGGGAAGGTAAGAGACGCGCAATGGCGCAATCAATTATCGCTGAACGCGGTTTAATGAATCCCGTATTAACTTTAGCATGGACGAGGCTGAATTCAGCGTCTTACTGGATCTGAGAATATTCGCTACATCTGTATACATTCTTGAATGAGCCTCTTCAAGAGTCCTCTCTGTTGAATAGCATCTCATTAAGTATGCTAGTACGCACTTACTATGCTCAGTCTCCTCTGTCAGACCCCTAATGGAGGTTACTATGTATTTTTCCCTGGATTCATAACGCAGGGACCGCAGTGTACACCCATCCCCGTCTCTTCACCTGGGACGGAGGTTGAACTGCAGTTGTAGGCCACAAGGTTGCCCCTCTATCTGCGCACAAAGAAGTACACTGTGATATGAGTGAGGTCGGTGTGCTCCTTACTGGACCACAGTCTTATCTGTGATAAAGTGGGTATTATTGGACCAATCGATTCTGATTGGTCAAGCGCGGGATTGAGCGGGCAAATGTTTGTTTGTTTGTTTATTTATTTATATATTTATTTATTATCACTGCCAAACATGTTATTTCATCGTTGCCCATGGCAACGTACCGGCGCTGCTTTTGTGTCTCGCGTATGACTCCGTCTACTGCTCTTCTTGTCAACAAGTTTGGCGAATCAAAACGTTTAGTACGAACGCTTGCTATAATAAATGACAGTATGACATGACAGTATTCATTTTAAAGTCGGCATGAAATGAAAATTCAAATATTGTTTAAATGCATGTTATAGATCTTATTGTAAACAATTAATCTGTGCATTTGTCTTGTTTTTTTATTTTTACCTCAATTTTTAAATAAAAATGTCATAAGTGGATCTTCTATTAAAAACAGCAGACTTTCTGGTGATAACAAAACCAGCCCAATTGCTACTCAAAACTAGCCCAATCACATGGGGGAAATTGGCTATAAAAATCGTGTTCGGGGTGGGAGGTCCTCCTTAGTCATAATCGCGTTTTGGTGGGAGGAGTGGTTCTCTTCAACCGAAGTATGTGAAGTATGTATAGCTGCAGCCGGAGACCTCCAAGTGGGATGGACTTATGCAGCAAGTAGGTTGGGAGACCTCCATGCATAGGTGTGGGAAGTGGGGGTGCTGAGGGTGCTGCAGCACCCCCTGTTTTGTTCTATGGGCAACTGTTTAACTGTTGGGAATAAAAAAAAAAATTGGAGTGTCTATTTACACTGTGCAAATGGCCCGCCTTGTTGGCAGAGGCTATTTACACTAACGCCACCCACCAACGTGTGATTGGGCTAGTCAACATTACAAAAGATGGTCATCAGTCGTCAGATTCAGTGGCGTAGTTGGTAAAGCGTGTGTCATATTCCTTTTGATGCGATCGACCCGGGTTCGATTTTTTCCCCGGGTTTTTTTCTCCCTTTTCAAATTTCAAATCACATCAGAAAAGCATTTATTTTATAATAAAAATTAAGGAAATAATCAAAAAGTTTAAAATAAAGTATCGGGTAGGGTTAGGGTAGGTGTAGGGAGGATCTTTTGTCCCAATAAGGTGGCATCCATTTAATAATTTGAATTAAAATGAAATTTTACACTCAAGTTATTATTGCATACTGTTTTATAATGTATTACAATGCTGAGGTGCAGATAATTGCCACTATTTGCAATAAGTAATTAGCAGAATATCCTGCTATTTTAACATAGTATAAATAGAATCTATAGCTACATTTGCACTTAGTGTAAATAGCATAGCACAAAAAAATACTGTAATTTTCACTAAGTGTAAATAGCCTCTATCCCCGCCCCCACGCATACAGCACCCCCAACCTAAAACATCTTCCCGCACCCCTGCCTCCAAGTGGGAGGGACTTACGCTGCAAGTAGGTTTTGAGACCTCCAAGTGGGAGGGACTTATGCCGCAAGTAGGTTGGGAGACCTCCAAGTGGGAGGGACTTATGCAGCAAGTAGGTTGGGAGACCTCTAAGTGGGAGGGACTTACGCCGCGAGTATGCGCACATCAATATAGCGTAATTTTTCTCACACTGTACAACAATAATTACTATTTTTGCATTATTGTTAGGGGTAGGTTTAGGGTTGGGTTAGGTCTAGAC